GTGCCATAGCCATAACTTCCAAGGGATAAATATCCCCTTGTGATTTGCCCCTCTCAGCCTCCCATTCCTTGCTTCCTTTCTCTGCTACAGCAGGAAAAATAATACTTCACTTACTAAACTCCCTCAGGCCATTTACATCTGATGGATTCTACCAAGAACTGTTCCACATGGCAGGCTCTTTCTATTATTTTCAATTCTGATGCAAAGTCATATTAGAAACACCTTCCCCATCTCTCCTCCTTACAGAGACACCCCCTCCTCGTGCACAAGGTTTTTTTTTTTATTGAGAAAAAAAAATTTCTGCCTCCTCCCAGCCTCCCACTCCTCCCCCCTCCCCCCACTCCTCTCACCCTCCCTCTCCAGTCTGAAGAGCAGTCAGGGTTCCCTGCCCTGTGGAAAGTCCAAAGTCCTCCCCACCTCCATCCTGGTCTAGGAAGGAGAACATCCAAGCTGGCTAGGCTCCCACAAAGCCAGGACATGAAGTAGGATCAAAACCCAGTGCCATTGTCCTTGGCTTCTCATCAGCCCTCATTGTTCGCCATATTCAGAGAGTCCGGTTTTATCCCATGCTTTTTCAGTCACAGTCCAGCTGGCCTTGGTGAGCTCCCAATAGATCAGCCCCACTGTCTCCGTGGGTGGGTGCACCCCTTGTGGTCCTGACTTCTTTGCTCATGTTCTCCCTCCTTCTGTTCCTCATTGGGACTTTGGGAGCTCAGTCCAGTGCTCCAGTGTGGGTCTCTGTCTCTATCTCCATCCATCGCCAGATGAAGGTTCTATGGTGATATGCAAAATATTCATCAGTATTAAGCCACCAAGCAGCTCTGAAATCATGACACAGAGTTTTAAATGCTCAGCCCATCTTAGGTACATTTCTAGATAGCCCTTTTAACATAAACTAATCTGTTTCTCTTTATCAACCTTTTTGGAAAATTTTGCCTTTTCTTACTTTCTTGCTTTTCCTTTGTCTGGCTGGCTGATGGCTACCTGGCCTCTTGCCCCAGACATGTCTCTCTTTCTCTCCTCCTCTCATTATTTCTCCTTTTTCTTTTGAAGACTATATTTCTTCTCCTGTTTATATTCTCTGCCCTGCAGTGCCACCTATTCCTCTCTTGCCTAGCTACTGGTCATTCAGTTTTTTATTAGACCAATCAAGTGCCTTAAGCAGGCAAGCTAAAAAAAAAAAATGGCAACACATCTTTTCATTATCAAACAAATAACAAGTACAGCATAAACAAATGTAACACATATTTGCCTGGTTAAACAGATATTTCACAACATTCTCCCATTACTCTCTATTTATTCACCTTATATTATCACCTACCTGAGACCCAAGCTCATTCTGGTAATCTGTGTTATTGTCTTTTTAGCCTGCTGTGGTATCAGTCTATATCTTGTGAGTTGAAATCTCCATGAGAACAAGGTCGTTGCTTTGTTCTCTGAGTAATCCTGGTTAATCCATTGCTACACACTATCTTAATTTATATCTGATGAATGAATGAATGAATGAATGTATCTTGGCTTACCTTATCAAATAGCAAGAACATTATAACTTTTTAATTAAACATTTCTGGGTAGGAGATATTTTTAGAAATTTATTTTCTACTCTATGTTCCCCTATTACATTAAGACTCATAATGGGAAAATACACAGAAGAGGGGGTTTTCAAACTGAATGTCCCGAAATCAAAGCTTCAAGAATGTGTACATTTCAAGACTGGTGAGAAGCTGAAATAAGTCTTTTGATTGAAAATGAGGATTTTTTTTTACTTTCCTTTGTACAGAAAGGAAGAATGTTTAGTTTATAATTTTGTTTGAATCACTGTTAACACTTAGTTTACTTATTGAAACTTGTAAAAGTCAAAGCATCTGTGGGAGAGGTGGTTCCATAGGAAAAATAGTTGCTGAACAACACAAGACTTTAGTTTAAATATTAATGCTCACTTAATCTCTGGGTGACTTTTCATGCACCTGAAGCCACGGAACTGTGGGAGCAGGAGACAGGAGGATTGTGGAGGCTTGCTTTGCTCCAGTCCAGCTCCATGTTCCGGGAGAGACCTTGTCTCCAAGAAATAAGGTAGAGGGTGATAGAGCAGGACACTCAAACACTACTCTGTTCTTCACATATGCATATGCCTACAGGTGTGCATAACACACACACACACACACACACACACACACACACCACAAAACAGTTTGAGGATTGAAAATGTCCTTAATGTTTTACTAGAAGATTCTAATGTTTTTAGTAGAATTTCAGAGAAACTTTATTTTATGTAGACACAAGCATAAATTTTTTTTTCTCAACTATTTAATATAATAGAGAATGTATTGTTCAGGTTGGCTATGTAACAGATTACCTTATTTAAAGCTAAAATCAATCCCATTCTTACTACTTATGTGGTAACTAATTTAGTTGGTGGTCCTGCTGATCAGGGTTGGGCTATGCTACTTTCAAATGTGTCATTATACACAATTCCTGTATAATTCATCAATTAGCTGGGAGATTTACCAGCAGTTGACTAGTCAAAGATGAACTCTTCTGGGGAAAACAAACAACAAGAACAACAAAATGTTTTTGTATCTTGATTACATAATAAATGAACAATATACATTTTCCAGACAGTGACAAAGATCAAGAAAGGAAATGAAAAGCCCACTAGTACTTTTTTCTTCGTGTTTGCTTTTGTCATATTGCCAGCCCCACAGTACAATGTTGTTACAAAGTCATAAATCAATACAGACTGGAGAAAACTTAAATTGAGCCCATGAGTATAATTAATCTACCACAGGCAAAAACACTGGAGGAAAAGGGTAGGCATAGAGATAAACTATGAAGGAAGAAAGGAAAGAGATAGAGCAAGCAAAATTAAAACAAAAGAGACTTGGGGATGGAACAAGTTGGGAACGAGTTAGAAAAGTTGGGATGTACAGTCTGGAAATTAAATTGCCAGAAGGATGCAGGAGCTAAGATACATGACCTGGAAAGCATGGTCTGCTGCGTATACAAGGTATGTCTTATGGCATAACAGGGTCTTTGGGTTGATGGTTATGTAAGTTTCATCATGAAAATGGGAGAGGAAGAAGAGAATCAATAACTCACAGTTTTAGAGATTGGAAACAGGTGACCAATATTAGTAACGAAACTTTAATTTTTATTCTGAAAATGGTAAAAATGTAATTGGCAACAAGGTTTTTTTGTATGTTTTCCCATTTTTTTTGTCTTCTATAAGTTGGGAATCTATATAAAATACCCTTTATGTTATGTTAGCTATAAAATTTGGGTACTAATATAATAAAATTATTATATTATTTTTATAGTATACTAACAAAATATGCTACATTACATATTATACAACATGCCACATGTTAAATTATATATATATATATTATATCACACAATAAATTATATGTAATATAGTTAATATAATATATTAGTATGATATAATATAGTATAATGAATATAACATAATATAAAGTATGTTGGTTAATTTTCTGTCACTGTAACAAAATAGCAAACATAAATAACCTATAAGGAAAACTGGGTTATTTTGATTACCTGTTTTAGAAATTATATTTTCAAGATAGTTTTATGTATTTAAGGATGCCCTTAAACTCAAAATATACCCCTTCATGACTCTTAACTTCTAACCCTCCTGCCTCCATCTTCTCCATACTGGATTATGCTGACATATATCTGCAACCCCAGTACTCCCATAGCAAGATGGCAAAATCCAATGAGAATAACAGAGATCTTGCCTCAAAAGAAAATGGAAGGAAAGAATAGTATCTTTAAAAGCTGCCAACTGACTTTTACATTTATGCTGTGATGCACATGCACATGTACACACTCACACATACACACTAAGTCACTCATGCTAAAGTTAGTTTTTTAAGGATGTATTTTATCTATGTTACTGAATTTACCATAGCAAACAGAATAGCAATATGAAGAAAGGAAGCTGAATTCCTGTGACACCTGAAATTATAAAAGGATATTTTGTTGAACTTGAGAGATAATCTTGTTTTAGAGCTTGGGGGAATCATATTGAAATGATGGTAGGAAGTGGCATTTCTCCTGTTTACTTTGTTTCAGTCATATTCTTCCATCTTTTAAATGATGGTCCAGTGTATGTCCTGTTCAGAAACAACATTAGGTAATAGATTTTATTTGGTAACTTAAAAACCAGTGCTCAGTATTAATCAATAGATCATTTTTTTTCATGGGCATTTCATGGGAATCTGGATGCTACATGTCCCCCAAAGAAGATTCTACATATCATAATAGACTGGTCACCAGGATGGTTATATTAGGAAGTAATAGGATTTTAAAAAGAATAAAACCTAATGGCAAGTTGTTAAGTAATTGTGGCACGATACCCTGAGACATCCCATATCTCCTCATAAGTTTCCCAGATGCTTCCTTTAGAAGTACCACATAGAGCAATAAGCATTGCACCTAATTTGCTTAACTCTAGTATTAACCAGCCTTGTATCATGTGACTGATATAATAACAGGTGATGATGTGATTAAAGATATGTTATGCGATATGCTTATTTTTATTGGTCTTTATGAGTACCTACTGTTTATAAACAGGAGTTTTTAAAAAATCTATAAAATCAAATACGAATAAAGTCATGTATTAAAATAAATAATAAAAAAGAATTTTTGTTATGGAAATTATAACTCCCACTAGTAATGGTGGACTTGTGTGTGTGATAATTTCATAGCTTGTAGTATCAACTATATTTGCAAGAACCTCTTTCTGTCAACATTGGGTTGTGAAATGCTTGACCAGAAGCTCTTGTGACTTTATTTCATATATAACACTAACCTGATGTGATTCCAAGACATTGTCTACTTATTTTCTATGATATTCCATGTTTATTCTCTAGTCTCTCATCTCCATTTTCTGATTTTATTTAGTAAACATGTTAACTCCAACCCTATGCCTGAGTGCCATTCATGTCTAACACAAAGAAATCTCCTTTTTCTTTTCCTAGATACCTGTCTTGGTCACACAGATAAGTTCCACCAACCATCCAGTGAAAGTCGGGCTGTCTGATGCATTTGTCGTTGTCCACAGGATCCAGCAAATCCCCAGTAGGTAGAAGAAGGGTAACTGAAAGTTGATCCTTGATTGGGGTCAAGTCTAAGGACAGTGATGTCTATCAGGGGAACTACAGAGAGACTATCCTAACTGCTGCTTATTAATTCTAATACTGGTTTATATTAATAACTCCTCTTGGGTTTATTTATACCCATTACTCCTGAATTAATAAATGTAGGGGAAGAGAAAAGGCCAAGGACATTTGACTGTTGCTGTTTGGGGGCTCTTTGGTGTAGTTGCTCTGTTTTACAGAGAGAGCTCAGTAACAAGAGCAGCAAAATGGATGTGAAACAGTGACGAATTATTTAGTTGACAGCCTTACAAATTTCGACGTTTGTTTATTTATTTTAAATAATTTTATGAGGAAATAAAGTATGTGCCATTTTGTATTTGAAACATTTGATCAAACCAGAAAATTTAAAAAAAAAAAAGTGAAGCTGCACCTACCAAAGAAGACACATCTCTCCTTTTTCGTTTATATTATTTTTGCTGGTATTGTTTATATTTTGTAGAGTGCGAGAACATTCATTATTTGCACAGTTGTTAATTAGTTTTGCAGATTCCAATGCTGCTGGGGATGTACTTAGACCTAGTTCATGTGCTTAGCATGTGCAGAGACCCTGCATTTATCACAGCATCTAAGCAAGGAAGAGAAAGGAGAAGGATAAAGTGCTGGCTGTGTTTCGTACTGTTCTGACCACCATCTGAGCATTCTGACTTTTAAACCTCTTCTACTGCCAAAATAATCCTGGTGAATCCTTCAGGGCACTGATCCTGAGAGTGTTTGTTTGCTCCTTTAAATATATTTACTTGAAGCCAGGAGTAATAATAAAATACATTTAGAGAGTAGGTCATGTCCTTTCCCGTCTTCAAGTTCTTCCTTTATTTCATTAAGGGTGAACTTAATTTATCACGTACATGCACTGCTTGGGACAGAGTTGAGATGATTCTGTTTAATTGTGTCATCTCTCAATTGCAAGAAGTAAATGAAGTGGAAACTAGACTCTCCAAAGAAACAATGTGGCTGCTAACATTCAAGGATTCTCTTGGCATAGGATGGCATTTGTTACAAGTGAGGATTCTACTCAGTGAAGAACGTGTGTAGCCTCGGTTGGGTTTCTCCTTGTTATCACAGAGACTATAATAGGTAATATTCGAGAGAATTTTTAAATCAAGGCAGATTTTTCAGAAACTTAATTGTACTGAGAACAAAGCAAAGATACATTAGTGTGTGTAAGGAAATATAAAGGCTTCCTGACAGAGCCCTTAAATAAGAGTCATAGCCCGGGCGAGTCACGGTTGGTCTCCGTTTGAGGAGTGGTGTTCCCACATTCTTCCTTTCAGGGGAGTTAAATCGGGCATGACTGGAGTCAGTTATTCATGAGAGAAAAGGGAACACTGGCTTTGGTTTATTTGTTGTTCCTTTCCATCCATGGAAGATGTTTTATGTGCTGCTTGCTAAGAAGGCACTTTAGAGAACAAACCTACAAAAATACAAAATAATTCTCATAGTCTATAAAAGTCTTTTTATATGCAATATTATGTTAGGTTTTTCCCTAATTGTGCAGTTGTGCTTAGAAGGGTCCTAAAAGGAGATTCAGGAAGTATAACCATGTTGTGAAGGGATAATTTTAGGGAAAAAATTCTCCAAAATATAAATGATATTCTATAAATAAATGAATGCACATGAATCTTGAGAGCAGATTATCTATGCTCTTTGGACTCAGTATTCACTTCACAGAACTGAGCCAGGCTCAGAATTTAGAGCCGACCAGCTCTCATGCGGCTGCATGCTTGCAATGCATCCACTGCTCGCCCTGACCTCACTATTCATCCCTCAGGGGAAGAAAGCCCAGAAGAAATGCAATCTCTAATGCTTTCCTCCTGGTGCTACGTGAGACTGTGCTGAAGGAAGACAGTTGGAAAAGATAAGTTCTACTTTAAAATCGCTCCAGGAACAGGAAAATGTTAATCTCGTTCTAAAGCCGGGCGGTGGTGGCGCACGCCTTTAATCCCAGCACTCGGGAGGCAGAGGCAGTTGGATCTCTGTGAGTTCGAGACCAGCCTGGTTTACAGAGCTAGTTCCAGGACAGGCTCCAAAAACCACAGAGAAACCCTGTCTCGAAAAACCAAAAAAAAAAAAAAAAAAAAAAAAAAAGAATTTGTTCTAATGGTGCAGAGTGCACCTGTGTATCTCATCAGTTCCGGTGTAAGAAAAGCATAGCTCCATTTAATAATCAGCTGAAAAGGAAAAAAATACATACTTTTTAGTGACAGAAAATAGAATAACCCAAGGCTTGTGTAATACAAAGTATGATTTCTCCCTCAACTCCCCAACTCCAGGAAGTGAGATGATCCCTAGAGACTCATTATTTACTGTTACTTGTGCTAGGGATGTAGATAAATAATTAAGTCCCTTGCAAAATTATATTAGGAAGTCTCACTATTGGGAGTAATCCCTGTGTGGAATATGAAGCCTTTGCTTTGGTTACTGCTTTTCTCTCTGAGTGTATTTTGAGAATAAATAATTATTATGCCAAGTAATGGGTAATTTCTTTCCTTTCATAGTTATGTGAATTTTCCCTTTAGTGATTGGTCATAGATGTTATTTCTCATATTAACATTTGTAATGGCATTTGTTTGTTTCTCTCTCCTCCAACTTAGTGTTTTGAAATTCAATTGTAATTTCTGACTGCCCGCTTTCTTCACCCAGCCTCACTGTTTCTCTGCCTTCCGAACTTTATAAGGAAGGCATTTCCTCAAATAAAAGTAGAAAAATCATAATGCTTTATGGGTCTTTGGAAAGCAAAACAAAAACAAGTGAACTTAAAACTGTGTCACTCAGTAATGAGAAATTTATTTTAGCTCATACATGTAACATTTCTAGCAAGATGAACTTGCCAGAATAGCTGCTGACCTGACGAGCAGTGTTCTAGAACAAGTCATGAGAGAGACAGCTTACAAATCCCTTAGGATATTTCAATCTGTGCTTCTCACCAGCGATGTTATCTGGTACTTTCATAATGTCAAACCCGTTCTCAATGGTAACCCCTATGTCAAACTTATTGTTTTTTGCTTTGTCAGCTATTACATGTCACAGCTCAATAGAGACACTCCGTCATGTTCAGAAAAAGAACTTCAGTTAATTTGTATAGCAAACTACTTTAGAAGTTTCTAGCTCCTATTTGAACTCTGGGACATATTTTGCCACATGTGCAATGTTTTCACAAGTTTGCAGACATGAAAACTTTTCCCAGAAGTCAGTTGAGATTACTTAGAATCAAACAACCTTAGTAAACACAAGCAGAGCTATGTTACTAAAGTTGGAGGGAGAGAAATAAAGAAATGTCATTAAAAATGTTAATATGAGAAGTAACATCTACGACCAATCACTAAAGGGAAAATTCACATAACTATGAAAGGAAAGAAATTACCCATTACTTGGTCTAATAATTATTTATTCTCAAAATACACTCAGAGAGAAAAGAAGTAACCAAAGCAAAGGATTCATATTCCACACAGGGTTACTCCCAATAGTGAAACTTCTTAATATATTTTCACAAGGGACTTAAATTCATTTAATGTTATAATTGGCTTTAACATTAATTCTCAAAAAAGTTATAACAGAACAGCACACTAACCTAGGATCATTCCTGTCTTGCTCATAAGGTCGGCACTTAAACATGAGCTTGCTAGCCAAATGTGGCAAAGATTCACTTCTATTGTGACAACTTAACCTTAGACATTAAATTTTAAACTACATTTAATTAATTTTAAGTTCAAGAACAGCATGTAACCATTGGCTGCCATACTAGACAAGGCAAAAGTAGACATTGTACATATATATTTAAATAAAATGTTAAATGTCAAGTACTTTTAAAATAATGTTAGAGTTAAATATGATTATTAATAAATTTCAAGCATAAGTGTACTTATTCAATAGTAAATTTTGAAATATAACCACTATAATAATAGCAACTTATAATTTTTATTTGATGGTAGGGTATAGACATTCTAATTTAGTAATTACAACTTTTAGTGTGAGATTAAAACACAATCATATAAATTTTTTAAAAATTATTTCATAGAACCCATTTCAAGTGCTTCTAGACGAGCCTAGTTTATTATTTCAGAGTCATCAGTCCTGTCGTTCCTTTAGGCCAAATCAGTCTATAAATCTCCAGTGAACGGTGCACGCTGATCTCCATTCTCTCTAACTGCAAAGCCCCTCAAAATTATTCATCCTGCAGAATGTAAAATTGCTTCCCTTTACAGCACTATTTACTTGCTGCTTTGATTCTCAAGCCTGAACTAGCTCAGCAAAGGCTCAGTGAAAGGACAAATAAAGAACTATTAGCTTCTTTGTAAAATACCAACTTATTAAAGAGCATTGTGCAAAATGATATTTCATTTTAATTCATACGTTATTAACATACTTTATATGGTTGTTCCTGACTGGATTTTTCTAAATGTGTGTAGATAGTGGTGTGTGAGTGTGTGTGTACAAGAGTGTATGTATGTGTATATGTGTGCATGAAAAAGAGTGTGTATGTCTGCATATGTCTGTCTCTCTATTGTATGTGTTTGTGAGAAAATATTTATCTGTGCTTATGTGTGCATGTCCCTGTGTGTGTATGTTTGTGTATATGTGTTATGCATGTGTGTGTTTCTGTGTCTGTGGTAGAAGAGAGTGTGCTGGTGGCACATCCCTGTGTGCTCATATGAGACCAGAACAGCGCAAGGCTTTGAGGGTCTTCTGTCATTCTCTGATTTAATACCTGGAGAGAGAGTCTACACTGAACCGGAAGCTTTGCATTTTCTAATGGATGGTTGACTCGGAACTCAGAGGATTTGCCTGTCTTCACATACCACTTTCTCCCCCTCGCACCCCCAAGCCTGTCTAGGAGTAATGCCCAGTCTTCTGCTGAGTGGTGGGGACTCAAACTCATCTTTTGTGAATTGAGCAAGTGTTTAGGCACTAACCCATCTCATACCCTGCTGAGGCGAATTGAAAGAAAGAGACAGAAGGAAGAAAGAAAAAAGGAAGGAAGGAAGGAAGGAAGGAAGGAAGGAAGGAAAAGGGAGAAAGAAGAACTAAAGATTCTTTGGCTATTAGCAACCACTGATTCACAAACTTTAACTCATTTGAGAACTTTTGTAGGGGTTCTGTAAACAAGATAACTCTCCTTCAGAAATATGGTTAAGCTATTTCATTTTTTTTTGCACATTCATTGGCTTTTAATCTGAGTCCACATATGCAAAAAATACAAGTTTTTACTTATTTAAATTCTCTATATTTATTCAAAACAGTCACGGACAGGACTTTAACACAAGGTTAACGTGCATGGCATTTGAGCATTCATTTGGTCAATGCACACTTGCTAGCATGCCCACTGGGACAGGATTAATTGATCTAAGCAAGTGAGAGTCAGGACAAAATGCTTTTATATCACTCAGCCAGTGAATAAATGAGCTCCTCTTTGCAGACCCTTCTCTGTAGCTGCCTTACTCCGTAAACATGGGCACAAGTTTGCTCACCAGTTAGAATTGAATTGTTTTTAATTTATGTTTTTTTTTAATTATTTTTAATACTTATTTTAGCTATCATGACCTGATACTATATTGTTTATGCTTTTCTGCTTTTTTATTTGCCTCAAATTTATACTTTCATTTTAATATTTGCTTAACTCATGTACTACATAACAAATATTTGTTTTCATTACACTTTCCTAATACTATGGGGGCATTGTAGTTTTTTCTGGTTCTGGTCACCTGCACTTATATAGTGCCAGAATGTTAATTCTCCCAACTGAATTCTGATATTGAAAACTTACTTTTCAGTACAGTTTGTACCACTGTGGTGTAAGTTACACATCTAAATGACTGATCCCTAAACATTATCCACTCTTTTGCCTGTGGTTGTTTTGTTCAACATTTGATTCTAAAGGTGGAAAAAATTCATACTCCATTCCACCAATTTCCACTTAATAAAGCCATTATTTCTCTTTTCTTTTGTTTTCTTTTTCTTTGCTTTCTTTTCTTTTCTCTGAAAGAAAAAATATAATTAATTGCTCAAGATTTAATAGCATGGCATTCGATTGAATGGGATTTCAAGTGTGCATTGCACAATCTTGGAAGCAAGGGGATATGCTCCCCTAGCGCCTGGAGAGCCATGTTAGTCCCAGGTCTGTGAAGACTCCACTCTGTCCTCCTTTTACACGCTTGCTTCTAAATCTCTGGGCAGATGATTCCTAAAGGGAGTGAGGAAATGAAGCAAGTTGAGACCAGGAAGTTGGATGAGAAAGAAGAGGGGGGAAAGTGTTATATCCCCCCTCCTGCCAGCCTTTGGTCTGATTTTCTTTACACATGGGAAAGTAACAGCTGAAATGTGACCCTTAGGCTCACCCTTAGCTTGAGCAAGGTCCTGAAACTTGTGCTAAGTAGAGATGGAATTAGAAAGAAGCACATAAGATAAAGTAAACACACTTCATCATCATCCAGATTTCTGCTGTTTTAGCTAACATTTGACTGATGTTTCATAGAATTACAATAGAATTAGAAAAAGAGTTTGTAGCTAAGACATGATCTTCTCTATGCTTTGTTTGCTACTCTCACTAGCTAAGTCTGTTACTACATCTTTGAGTGGGAAGCTTGTTATTGCTGTAATAGTATCCTGTTTTTCCTTAACTTTTTGTTTTCTTTCCCTGAATCTTCATGCTGAGAATGAATGAATCTTGTGATGTGCATAGCCTACTGTTTACTTTGAAGAGTACCGGGTAGCTTGTGCTGAGGGCTGGGACCAATTTGGATTAGAAAACAAATGAAATATAATCATTTGAAACCCTTCGTTAGGCATGGACAACAGAAATAAGAAAATGGCAACAAAGCTTATGTTTGACAGTTCAATGGACTAAGATATTATTAAATGCAAGGATAGGACAATGAAGGCAATTGCCATTATATTCTTTTATGAATATTTGCTTTTAAGACTGGCTATCAAAGAAGCAGAATCCAGCGAATCCAGCTGAGGGAGAATGTGGAGAGGGATAGGATTCTTAGAGTTTCTGTATGACCACACTGGCCCTACTAAATGAACCTGTCTTGGCTCAGGCACACCAACACCAAGTTCTTGGCACAAAGAAGATTTATTTGCACAAAAGGGACAGAAGGCAGAGATTAAGAGACAAAGACAGGAGACAGAGGACTAGGTAGAAGAAAAGGGAACAAGAGAGAGGGGTAAGATGTATTTGTCCACAGAGAAAAACAAAGGACTGCCACTGGATAGAGGGAAGACAGCTATGCCATAGGAAAATGGCAGTTTATAAAGAAAAAAGGGAAACCCTGTTAGGATGAATGTCATTCATTTTAGCTGAGCATGTTAATTAGGTGAGCCAACAGAGGCTTTGAATTGCTGACCTCAGTACTTCAAAAGCTCGATCTTGGTAGTCAGCCTCAGGAGGAAGTAGTCCTAAAATAAGGGAATAGACCTTGGTGTCTAGCTTTAGGAATATAATTTAATGGTTATTCGCAATGCAGAGAGAATGGGAGAGAAGGGCAAGGCCTGCCAGAGCCATGGCCATCATGCTCTTGCTGGCCAGAGTCCCTTCACCCACCTGATGGAGATCAGAATTCCTTAAACCAACAGTTCAACATTTGCACACTGCATAGTATCACCGGGACATCTTAATCTCTTTTTTCTACAGGTGTTACTCTCTAACAGTTGATTGAATTTATTTTCTAATTTATAACAATATTTCACTGATGAATTTTATTGTCAATCTTAAGTCTTTAAAAAGTTAAAAGAAAGTAATTGAAGTAATAAACGTTTATTTTAACATTATTTTGCTTATTTTCTTGAAGACATTTGAGCCAAATACATTTCTGAAACCATATGAAAGCTTCTAGGCTTGGCAGGGTCAACCAGTGAATAAATTCCTAATGGCTTGTGTTTAACAGAGTTGTCTCTGAATGATGACAGAAGCAATCATTTGGAAGTTGTCATCGACCAGCAGGTCACCAAACAAAATGATTCTCATTTATTTTAGTCTTGTTAAATTCTTCTCCTCTCAGTAGTTGGGGCACTAGGCAATCAAGGGAACCAGGGAACCGAGATAGAAAATGGTTTATCAGTCCATACACCCTATCAGTAACTAACTCCCAGGGCTTCCTACTCGTCTCCACTACCTGAGGTTTTCAATGTAAAATGTGACATGAACAATGGACTGATATGGTTGAAATCAGCTGATATGATGGATCATTTCCAAACTTTTCTGTGAAGACCTAGGAACGTTCATCCTAATATTTGTATTTTAAACCATTATTCTTTTTACTTCTAGGAACTAAATTGTGCAAAACACATGGGAAAGAAATATATTAAGGACTTATTCAATTTAGATGGAGGAAAATAATGAGCAGACATTATCTTTTTTTCTCCAAAGTTAAAGACTAAAGAAGATGCTATGACTCCTTATATCAAGGAAACATATCAAGAAATCATGTTTTTCTAATAACGAAGGAAGATTGCCTTCCTCTGTTGTTACTAGTCAAGGAGAATATGCATGCTTCCTTCAATTATACAAAAAAGAAATTAATTTGATTAGTGATTATTTTCCAATCTCATCAACATGAAGAGCTTTCCAGTGAGTACAGAATGAACAGAAAATTATATGCTTCCTTACCTAAGGCAGCTTCAAGTTAAAGCCCATCCAATGAAGAGACTGATAATTACAAAACTTAACCCCTATATCAAGTACATATAGAACCAGAAATATTGTTATCATTGATGTGGAAAGTGTAGGTTGAGATTTAAAATACTTCCCTGAGGTAGCAAGCCTCCAGCTAACTGTAACACACACACAACCTTAGCGGTTTCATGATAGATTTCCATATTTTGAAGGATTTGATACATGAAATCCTACATTAAAGCTGAAGTGACTCAGGAATGGGTAGCACTTCTATATTTATTATTAAAATACTCTTGTTGAAAAGTGGGGAAGTAGTTAGAGCTAATTTTCTTTCACGTGTTATTTTGTAGATGTTCGAAGAAGAACAATTTATGAATATCACCGAGTAGAACTACAAATGTCAAAAATTACCAACATTTCAGCTGTGGAGATGACCCCACTCCCCAGTAAGTTATTTAAGATAGTGAAGTGGGGAAAACATCAAGTTTGACAGTAAGTTGGCTTATAATTATTGTCTTCAGTATGTAATTTTAATTGTGCTTGTCAAGCATACATATCCTGACCTTGGGTGTGTACAGGGATGGGTGTAGTCTTGGATAAGTAGTCTTTCTCCCTCCACACTGTCAACTAGTCTTGATGAGTCTATTCTCTCCTGTTTCTTAGCATGTCTGCAGTTCAATGGCTGTGGTCCTTGTGTATCCTCTCAGATTGGCTTCAACTGCAGTTGGTGTAGTAAACTTCAAAGGTAAAAGAATAATTTATAAATGTGATTTTTATTTTTTAAAAGTCTTGTTGTCTATACCCACCGAGTTACAAATTTTATCATGTGTATAGATCATATATGTATTGAGTGTATAGGTGTGAAAATAAATGTGTATGCATGTTCATATATGTTGTATATGAACTTAGAACATATACACATAGTTGGACAGACCAAAGTGCAAATCCAATTGTGTTTAGAAAAGGAAATTTCAATATATTTCTTTGTCAAATGCTTAAAATGACTAAGAACCTCCATCATCTATAATGCCAAAATCTAACATAGATTTATAATTCCCTATAGGGTCTTTTGAATGGATAATTTCAGCCCCTATTTTACAGAAAGCATGGCATGAGCTATGTTTTCCACAGCTGGAACATATTTCAGTAATCACATGCACATTATTAAAATAATTCCTATCCAGTAGCTGAAAAGTCCTTCCTCAAGGTTGCTGATGGAGGCTAAAGTTGACATTACCTGACCTTGCTATGATTAGAACCTGTATATGGTGGTAACCTTGTGCTCTAATTGACTTAGAAACTTACTTTTAATGGTGTCAAAAATATTTACTGGCTATCTCCAGTGGTAAAAGAGATTGTTCAGTCACAGGACTTTTATCGAAACTGAGCAGGGTGAAAGATATATGAGGCTGGAGAGCAGATTGCTGTTCCTCGAAATGATGGATGGACAATACTTCCACCAAAATCTTATATGAATTAGTGACACTGAACTGACTCAAGGAGGAGTCAGTTCAATGAATACCTCCTGGTTCTGGAACAAAGCAGAATGCATTAGTTAGGTTTCTCTAGAAGAACAGGATGGACTGAATTGTTTGATATCATAAAAAAGAATAAATTAGCTTCTCTAGGATCACTAATTATAGGCTTAATGTCCTTGGTTTATGGCTAGAAACCAAATATGAGTGAGTACATCCCATGTTCCTCTTTTTGGGTCTGGCTTACCTCACTCAGGATAGTGTTTTCTATTTCCATCCATTTGTATGCAAAATTCAAGAAGTCCTTGTTTCTTACTGCTGAGTAATACTCTAATATGTATATATTCCATACTTTCTTCATCCATTCTTCCATTGAAGGGCATCTAGGTTGTTTCCAGGTTCTGGCTATGACAAACAATGCTGCTATGAACATAGTAGAGCATATACTTTTGTTGTATGATAGGGCATCTCTTGGGTATATTCCCAAGAGTGGTATTGCGGGGTCCAGGGGTAAGTTGATCCCGAATTTCCTGAGAAACCGCCACACTGCTTTCCAAAGTGGTTGCACAAGTTTGCATTCCCACCAGCAATGGATGAGTGTACCCCTTTCTCCACAACCTCTCCAACAAAGGCTATCACTCATATTTGGTTTCTAGCCATAAACCAAGGACATTGAGCCTATAATTAGTGATCCTAGAGAAGCTAAATAAGGAGAACCCAAAGAAAAACACATAGGCATCCTCCTGAATATTAACCTTCAGCAAGCGATGAAAGGAGACAGGGACAGAGACCCACATTGGAGCACAGGACTGAATTCTCAAGGTCCAAATCAGGAGCAGAAGGAGAGAGAGCACGAGCAAGGAACTCAGGACCATGAGGGGTGCACCCACACACTTAGACAATGGGGATGTTCTACTGGGAACTCACCAAGACCAGCTGGCCTGGGTCTGGAAAAGCCTGGGATAAAACCGGACTCTCTGAACATAATGGACAATGAGAACTCAAGAACAATGGCAATGGGTTTCTGATCCTACTGCACGTACTGGCTTTGTGGGAGCCTAGGCAGTTTGGATGCTCAACTCACTAGACCTGGATGGAGGTGGGGGGTTCCTTGGACTTCCCACAGGACAGGGAACCCTGATTGCTTTTCGGGCTTCGGGGGAGGGGGGGACTTAATTAGGGGAGGGGGAGGGAAATGGGAGGCGGTGGCTGGGAAGAGACAGAAATCTTTAATAAATAAATAAATTTAAAAAAAAAGAATAAATTAGATTGGCTTACACAGTATAGCTCTAGGTAGCTGAGCTATGGCTGTCTAAATTCTGAATGATCTGAGACCAGTTGTTGTCTTGACCCCAAAACAGAATGCCCAGTAGTCCCAGTGTGATTTTGAAGGTCTGAAAGTTTCTGAAAAGCAGTTGCCTTTTATTTATGATGGAAGACCAAAGAAGCTTGGGTTAGGTGGAGACAGCAGAAACAACACTGGGATCTATACCTCACCATAAAACCTGTAGGCAAACAGGCAAGCAGAGGTGCTTTTAACATCACCCTGTGCTGCACACTCTAGAGAAGAGTCATCACCCCTCTGTTTTCTTGCCAGCCCAGAGGCATGTCTGTTTGTTGGTTCTAGATCCAATGAAATTCCAATCAAGAGTGCCTATCCCAGGGAGCATAGCTCTAAAAGGTTGAACACTCTTAAGAAATCACTTTGCCAGTGACTGTCATTTGCTGAACCACTGTGCACATCATGTATGTCCAAGGTGCCTGCAAGACTGCAGTGAAGAACATGAGCAGGATTCTTGCACCCAGGTGGAGTTACAGCCTCAAGCATCCAGAGTCTATGGAAAGACATCTTTTCCTTCCAGGTGGTGTTCCTTGGTGGCTTGTTACCATAGAGGACAGATGCCGGCTCCCTGTCTCCCTGCTGCAGCACTTTTGCCTTGCTAAAGGCACGCTAAGGGACTTCTTCAGTGTTGTTGAAGGTGTAAAGATAGAACGCAAAATTTTTCATGACAATCTTAGGAAACATTTCGAACTGGCTAACTTTGAAGTAACCACTCTGGTACTGCAGCCGGAATTAGCTTGTTTATGAGAACCAGGGTGGTGTTCTCAACTGAACATGCTGTGCCAGCCACTTCTTTTGGAAAATGAATTTCAAACAATGAAAAAGCAAGCAGGCTATTAGCATTTTTCATAGCATATTTTAAGTGAGTTCCTTATTCAGAGTGGGTAGAACTGCTGTAAATCAAGGAATGGTGGTTATATGTATATTTTGATAAGATTTTGTAACAATCACATGCATATCAGAAGTCATTAACATCTGTTTAGATACTGAACTCTGAAATGAAAAGTGCTCAAAGCAATTTAGTGAAAGATACTGATCAGCCACCTTCAGAGCTTAAGATCAAGTTTGCTAAATAACATTATGAGCCATTACGATTAGGGTAAGGCTTTTTTTTTCATTTTTTTCATATTCTTTGCAGGGGTGTTAAAGGCAAAGACCATGTATAATATTTTCCTTTACCTTCATTGCCTAGGAATACTTTGATATTATATCATCTAATTGATAAATTATGATTAGTTTCTGGGTGACTAAATCGTGCATAGGCTTTTCTGGAATTAAAGCGTTCTGGGATAAGAGACTGTCAAGTGCTGAAGCCAGAAGATCTGATGGAAACCAGCACAAGTTGATGGCTCTTATCAGTGTATGATAGGGTTTTTTTTTTCATTTGTTATTTGAAATAGGGTCTCGTTCTGTAATCCAGGGTAGCCTAGAATACTCCATCCTTCTACTTCAGCTTTCTAGATACTAGGATGACAGGCACGGACCATTTCTGGATAATTAGAAGTTCTGCCTCAAACAATGTCCAAGTAAATGAAGGTTTTGAAGACTCATCTAGAAGCAGACCTAATATTAACCACTTTTTAAAAATGCAGAAATACATGTTCTGACTTTGAAAAAAATCAATATTTCAGTCAAACCATACCCACATGTTGAAATATGCTTCTACTCTTAGAGTTTATAATTTGAGAGATTTCTCAGCCAGGTAGGATGCATGCTGAAGAGTTTATAAATTATATTAAGAGTATATTTGCAGCAGAGGAAGCCAGGGTCCTTGGGTTAAGCACTTCCTCAGGGTTTCCAGCCTTTTGATAAGTTTGGAACCTGAATTTGAATCTGTGTGACTTCCAGCTTTGGGTCTGGCTAATATATCAACGCTACTTTGTACATCACAGGCGGGTGTGCTACACAAACTATTTTTAAATGGGTGCATAGTCGATGCTGCAAGAAAAAATAGATGATTTTTCAAAATGGTATGCCAAAGCAGAGAGGAGAGTCACAATATTCCAAAGACTTCTACATATCGATGACGGCATTGTAAATGTGAAGTGTGATTCAGGGTATTCTTCGCCGACAAGCATGTGTTTTTTGCATGCTATTATCTTTTGCTCTGTTGATTATGGAGCACAGATTTAAAATATCAGATTCAGTTTTAATTTTGGGAAATCCATAACAAAATTTGTTTCATAAATTGGTTTAACTGTGGTTCATTGTACTTTTATTTGAGTTAATCTCCCCACTACATCTTACTATTTTCTCCTTAGACCTGTAAAGTTCCAAACATTGCTTTACTGCCCAGCATGATTTTCCCAGACTTTAGGGTTTTATGGGAAAAAAAATCACAAAATAAGAGACATGTTAGATTAAGTAATACAAATAGCACCCTGATTTTTTAAACCCACCATTCCTTCTTGCATGTGCTCATTTAGCCTAGACTAATAAACAGCTGCTAGTAATTACTCAACTTTCAAATTGAGTTTGCTAAAAAAAAAAAAGAGAAAGAGATAATTTTAATTGATTTGTTTATTTCATCAATTCCCATTTTGAGGGAGCAAAAACTAAGACAAAATGTGTACCATGACTGGCCCAGGGTCTAAGAGTATTTGTATTACAAATATACATAAGAAGTTTCATGATTGAAAAGATGTAATGAAAACACCTAGCCCATGGTTTTCTAGGTAAGCTCCTTCTTATTTCCTCTCTGTGAATTGACAGAACTTGAATTAATCTTTTTTTTCTTTACTTAAATTATGTTGGGTTTTTTTTTTTTTTTTTTTTTTTTTTTTTTACATTCTGACTGAATCTTCCCCTCCCTTCCTGCCATTCCCTCCCCTGCTTCCCTCCCCTACCCAATTCCACTCTTCCTCTGCTTCTGTTCAGAACCATGCAGGCTTCCCATGGGTAATGAACTTGCACTTTGACAGGAGCCAG